GGTTTGCTCCTGGACCCACCAGCACGGGAGAGCAGGACCTTAGTACCCATCTGCAAAAGCAGCATCCGTGGCTGCGTGCCGGTGCTTTGGGGTTTCGTTCCCCGCTGCCCTCGCCCCTGGGGCAGGACTTGGCACTGAGGGGACAGGAGGCTTTGTCAGTATTTCCTGGCCAAAGTCTGTTTTAATTTGTTTTATAAATTGCCAAATCCAGCAGGCTAAGCCGCGGGCCCCCTTCTGTGATAAAAATAAAATAACAGCTTGAACTTGGGAGGGCCGAGCGGTGGGGCTGGCAGGAAGCGGCTGATTAAAGGGCAGGTGGAAATGATGAGGCTCCGAAACCGGAGGCTTCATCTTCCGCTCTCAAGCGAAAAATGCAGATTTACTGAGTTTTGCTGACTTGGCCTTCACCCACGTACCGTGGAGCCTCCCGCTACACCCACTCCTGCGTGGCGGGCTGCACTGGCCCCCCCGGGGCGGGTGCTCTGACTCTGCTGTATGCGGCGGTGAGCTCCCCGTCGGCGAGCACGGGCAGGGGGCAGCCAGCCACCAGCACGCTGGGGTACTGCTGTGCCTTCCTCCTCCTTGCGTGGTGCGGAGCGAGTTTGGCCGGTAATTGCTTTAGAAACGCCCGTTTGGGCCAAACCCAGAGGTGATGCACAAGGTGTTGCAGGTTTGGCCTCACTCTGTGTCACTTCCATCTTCCCTGAGCCCTGGCAGGTAAACCCCACTGATTTATGGCTTACCTAAACCGATAGCTAATGTGCCATGAAATTACTCCAGAACAAGGGGGGGTACATTATTGTGCCAGAAATCTCTCTGAATATTTGCTCTGCTTTGAAGGCAAGATATTTGCTCCGGAGCGATGATTTTTATTTGCTAGCAGGCAAACCTGTAGCTCAGTTGTGTTTGGGCTGGAAGATCACTGTGAAATTGCAGCAGGAAGGTTTCAGTCCCTGGAATATCTGCCGCCTCCCAGGGCGCCTTGCTGCAGAGGCTATTTACGCTGGAAAAAAGCGCCTTATTTCTTGCCATAAAGTTTGTCTAACTGACCTCCCAGGCAGCAAACCCTGCTTTGATATTAAGCAAAACTGTTCTGGTTTTTATTTGAGATTTTGTTTCCCTGCTCTGAACCTGCGTTCGTGGCGGGATGGTGCAGTTACCTTGGAAACAGCGGTGGGATGCTGCGTGGCGACAGGGCAGTGCTCGGGCAGAACCCTTCCGGGAAGGTGGGCATGGAAAAGTGTGAGAAGTGGGATCCAGAGCCACCCTGGAAGTTCAAGGCGGGTGGCAGGTGAAGTTGTGCTGGGGGAGATGCTGCTCCATGTCCGGACTTTGGTGTGCAAATCCAGGAGCCTTGGAGAAGGTTAAATTATGTTTTGGGAAAGCCTGTCTTTTTAAGGCTTTTTCCCCTGCTTTGGATTAGCATGACGTGCTCAGCTTGTCCAAGAGGAATGAATTTCTCAAATCAAATGTACTTTGCTGCTGAGGCTCTTCTGGTTTGTTCTGGTCTCCTGCCCCTTCCCTGTGGTCCCATCTCAGGAGCTTCCCTGTTGCTGCTGTTCCTGGGTTGTGGATGCCGTAAGGGAACGCTGCTCTGATTAAAAGCTGTTGGTGTTTTTCATTTTAACCATAAAAGTATTTCCATTCTCGCTGGGTTTAATTTACAGTTTGCAGCCAAATCGGAGCTGGGAAGGGATCCCATTGGTGGCTTATTTGTTTGAAGGTGTCAGTATACAAATACGCATTCTGGGAATGCCAGCAGTGCTGAAGGGGAGGAGATGTGCCGACAGCAGCTCCCAGCTGTGTCCCAGCCATGCCCGGACCTTCCCGGAGAAGAGCCTTCAGCTCCTGGGGGATGGGAAGCTGCTGGCTGCGGTGGGGCTGCTGATGGATGGGCTGACCCGTGTGAAAGCCCAGAGAGGCAAAGCCTCTGCGCTGGCGGCAGTGCCCGAGCGAGCCGCAGCCATTCATCCCTCTCGCTCCTCTCCCAGGGCTATGCCAGTCCCGCCGACCAAGCGTGGGGATGGCCACCAGCCTCCCAGCATGAAACCATGTTTCATAACAGGGCTCACAGGAGGATGCTCTATGTTTTATAACGTCTGCAGCCATTTCTCTAGCATCCACATCCACTCCTTTTGTGCTGAGAGGGAGAAGAGGCAGTGTTTGCTGGGGCCCACAGGTTAATAACAGCTTTTCTCCTTTGCAGCCACGCTGGGGACGCTGGATTTCAGTTTGCTGTATGATCAAGAAAACAATGCTCTCCACTGCACGATCAATAAAGCCAAGGTATGTCTCAGCGCTGGGCGAGGACCGAATGTGCCTGGAGCTGGCCACTGTTGTCCTGCATTATGGGGCCACCGGAGCCCTGCCAAAACCAGGAGGCCACTGTGGTGCCACGGCTGTGCCCAGTAAATGCAGCAGTGAGGGCAGCGCGTGGGGACGGCCGGGTGTCCCCCGCCATCCCTGGGCTGCACCGGGGCTCTGGTGTCCCTTACTGCAGCCATCCCTTTGCCAGCTCCTCTTTCATCCCAACACCCAGCACTTCTGCCCTCTCCTTCCCCTCCATCCCTGCCTTTCAGGATGTTTCCAGCGGGACAGAGACGGCTGCTCATCCCCGTGACAAGATGGTTGCAGCTATTGATGCTTTTTAGAAAAGCGCCCAACCCAATGTTGTTATTTACTTGACGCTGTGACCGGCTGTCAGTTTATAAATGGCTCTTTTAAATGCCGCTAATCATTGCCACAAAGTGCTCTGCCTCAGCGCCTTTGCCATCTGAGTGATTGAAGCAATTAAGGGTTTTTTTGCACATTTTGGAGCAGAAACAGATAACTGAGGTCCTTGTTCTGCCTCTGGGCCTGTGGAAGGTGCTTCTGGGCGCTGCTCAGCTCCTTTCTGCTTCACCCTGCACGAGGTTCGGAGGAGCAAGGACTCCAGGTCAACACGGCTGGGTCCCGACAGTGGTGGGTTGGTGGAAGAAGACCTAAGTCCCTGTAGATCTTAGGAAGGGGTGGAGGGTTTTTACAGAAGACAGGAGAAACTGCAGGAGAATGGGCTGTGAGCTGAGCCCCCAGAGGATCAGCCCACGCCGTTTGCCTTCGTAGGATGCTCCTCTCCCCTCCAGCTGCAACTGGCCTATTTGCAGCCCCCACCCCAGAGCCCGCCGCGCTGGGTGCTGCGCTGGGTGCTGAGAACACATGTCCCCACCCCAGGGTGCTCCCCGTCTGGAATAATCCCTCGAGCACGAGTTCTTGCTTTTGGGGGGTGAGCGTGGAGGTATCTGCCCGGCAGAGCTGGAGCTGCTCC